AAATGTGCTCTTGAATAGTCAAAGGCGGAACTTCTGTTAGGTTGTAGATAAAATATTTATCAATTTGAGTTTAATGAAGCAAGGAATTTAAAGTTACTTGAAAGCAAATTTTGTTTAACATTTTTACGTTCTACTGGAGAGCAGTGGAGTGCATAGGTGTTAATGTGCCATAAATGTTAGCATTGCAATGAGTTTATCATTCAAGCTAAGTTGGTATTTCTGCTGTTTATTATTTTCTTTAATATAGGATATATTAAACTAATAAAAAATGTTAAATTGCTGAAATAAAATAAATTTTCTTAATAACTAATTTGATCGTTATTTAATGGATTATATTGCTCAAATGTTATATTGCTGAAATAAAATAAATATTCTTAATGACTAATTTGATCGTTATTTAATAGATTTATAGTTTTGTTCTATTTTGTATAATATCGGATCGAGATTGAATTACTACTAAATTAAATTTAAATTTTATGTTGTTTACATCAGTAGTTAGTATGCTGCTCTAAACAATTGATTTACTGGATACTTGGTGTACAAAATTTGCTACCATAGACGATATTGAATACAGCTGGAAATAATGCAATTGAAATGAATCTAGTTTAGTTTATTTAGTCTAGTTTAGAAATTTTATACAAATGTTGTTTAAGTAAAATATGTTTTCTCCGTATAATGTTTCTAGATTAGGTTCTATATGCAAGACAGCATAATATAAAAACTTTTAATAAATAATGCCTCTACAAAAGAATAGTATTGAAATTTAACAATTAAATATAAATTGCATTAATTAATTTAATTATTTTACAGTTGGTTTATGATTTCGTTCTAATATAACACAGCAAGTGAATTTATTAATGAGCTTTCAAGGTAAATTAAATAAACTCCAAGTTCGAACATATAAGTCAAGCACGGCTTGAACACTGACTCTGAGTTTCAAATTTGGCAGGGTAAAAGTTTAATCCTTAGCACTTGCAGTTTCCAAAAATTATATACGAATATTTAAATATATGAATTAAGCCCAAGACCACTGATGATGAGTATTTGGGAATACACGAAACAGCTGTATGGTCAGCAAAAAATTCAATCAATCATTTATGATTTAATAAAAAAAATTTCTGCTGTTGTAGTTCAATACTTTTCGAAACTTATCTAGTAAAATATAAATACATATTTATTTTTGGTTCGATATTATACACTATTTTTATCTTTTTTTGTCCATTGTTTAGAAATATTTTCTACATTCTGAAATAAAATTATTTATATATTTATATAAAACACAAATGATTTCCTATATATTATATGAAAAAAAAAAACCATGGATTAAAAAGCTGATATATTTTATGTATTTTTTTTTTTCTTCAGTTATTATATTACTCACATAGATATGTTAACATTATTATGTTGTACATTACATTTTTTGACAAATTTATATAGGTACATTTATTATTTATTAATAATATACATAGCATAATATAGAACAACTTATTAAATCTGGTTCGATAGTTCAATGTAAAAAATGTTAATTTTTTATTTAAAGAAAAGCTATTTTTGTTTTTTATTTTAAACCGAACATAAATATTTTTTTATTTTAAAATTAATTTATTTTATTTAATTTTATTAAATGGTTGCTTGCAACAATTTCATAGGTAAGAACCATTTTTATTGAAGAATTTTAGAATTATATATATCAAAATTTGGCACTTATTCTTTTAGTAGTCATTTTTTAAAGTAAATATTACGCTATCATATATGGTATTACAAAAATCTGAGGAAATACTTATCTTAAGTACAATGCTAGAGCTATGTACATTTTTATTTTCAAGCCAATTAACGTGTTAACATAAATCGAAAAATTCGGGTATTACTAGAAAATCACTTTCATTCTTCTAGAGATGGTGCACGCTTTAATATTAAGCATCAGAGAATGCTTATGCAAGGATACCGCAACATATAATGTATTTACGTTATCCATTAAGTAGCTCTGAAACCTTTAATGACATATTTTTTTTTGTTCAAAATGCCGTATTTCAAACTCTTTTCAAAAAAACTCTGTATATTAAACCTTGACACCAGATCAACAAAAAGCTAAAAAAAACTACACATTGCGAAACTAAAAAGAGTTTTTGAAAAAACTTAATACACGATTGGATCAAAAATAACGCACGTACTTCCGTAAAACCAAAAATAACATGAGGCCGTTATTAGAAGTAATCAAATTTAAATGAATTATACCAAAAAATTTTTAAACTTTATTAGAAAAGTTATAACATCTACACTGAACTAATAAGAAAACACTCGGAATCATCAAAAAAAGAGCAAAACCCATATAAGTATACTTTCTATTGAAGCCGATAAACCAGCATTATGACAAGGTTTACTTTTAGAGATAGTTTATGCATAAATTAAATTATATATTATGATAATATAAATGGAAATAATGATATATGCAATGCCAAAGCACACGACCCGCATCACAGGGCGTACATATATATGCATTTCTATTTCTCAGATCTTTAGTCTGTTAAGATTAGTTCTCTTTATATTTCCCTTCATTGTGGTTCAATTGCTTTGATCACTCGCAATAGGAAATTCTTATGCACCATAAAGTACTTTTTGTTGTTATGTAAAGTACTTTTTAAATATTAATTGCCTGGCAACTCTGGCCTGTCATTATTCTATTCCTTTTGTAATTATTATTCATTATTCATTTTTAGTATAGTTAATAAAGCGAAGTAAAGAACATGTTAAAAATACATCGGACCGTGTTTCACTTTTGCTAAAAATATATAATACTTAGCCTTAAAAATAAATTTCACCTTACCTTATTCTACTTATTATAACAAATCATACTTAATATCAAATCGACTTTTTTCCGACCTTTAATAATGTTAGCTTCAACTTTTATTACTTATTAAAATAATATTATTATATAACTATATTTATTAATACCATCTTTTTTGCGAGAATCTTTCCATACAATGATTTGAATAAAATAACATACACAAATGAAACATACAAATATTCTGAGCAGCTATTGCTCGAAAACCGGTTAAAGTTCGGTCTGTCTTAATAGCGAATGAAAACATAGTGGAACAAAATTTTTTTAAGTAGTTGATGGGTCACCTGAACCTGGATATTTTGTTGATAATTAGCTTTATGTTATTAATTTAAAGAAATGTTACACTTGATCTCTAGTTTCAAAACAATGTTACCAGTGCTTAAAACGTCGTATTTTTGGTTTTCTTTTTTGAAGATTTCATCCATTTTTACGATATTTGATTAACCAGACAATAAAGACGATAAAACAAACTATGTCCTTATGGTTAAGTAAGGGTTTCTTCACCATAAACAGCAGAAATCTTTTTAAATGTTGCTGCCATATTCCCTTTACTGTTGAACATTGTAAAATATGCCAAAAACTGATTTATAACTTTTCATTAAGTTATTATTTCAGAGAGCCCGTGCTCTCTGACTAGTCGCCCGTGCGACTAGTGGAGTATTATTAGTATGACTTTCGCAGCATTACGTTCCTAGATTAGGTTCTATACATAAGAAAGAACAGATCATACAACAAATAATGCCTCTACGAACAGAATAGTATTGAAATTTAACAATTGAAAATAAAATTATAATTAATTAATTAATTCAATTATTCTACAGCTGGTTTATGATTTCGTTCTAATATAAACACAGCAAGTAAAATTGTTAATAAAAACTTTCATAGTAATAGTAACAAAACTCCAGAAAAATATGCGAACAAAAAAAAAAAGTCAAGTACGGCTTTGAATCAGTTGGTTAAGGTGCGCTGATTCTGAGCTTCACATTTGGCAGGACCCGAGTTCGATTCCTGGTACTTGCAGTCTCAAAAAATAATTATTTACGAATAATTAAATACAAGAATTATTTCCAAGACCACTGATGATGGTTATTTGGCAATACTCGAAACAGCTGTATGGTCAGCCAAAAATTCAATTAATTAAAATAATATAAAAAATAAATTTTTGTTGTATTTCACTACTGTTCGAAAAAAAACCTTTTAAGAGAGATTTTATATAACTGTCACGTAAGTGACGTAGCATTGTGCGAATAACGGATTTGAAGCTATTAAATAAGCTGAAGACTATTAGCCTAACAAAATATATGGAAAATTAGATCAAATATTCGATTGGATATACTTTGATGACGATAAAAAAGATTTAGATTTATTGAACATTTTTTGTGTATTTTGTTTAATAATTTCATGTGTATTGAATATTGAATTTACTTAGCTGTTATGTTGCTTTCTAGTAAGTTTGCCTCATTTAAAATTATTGTAATAACAATGTGTCTCAGTTCTCTTAATAATTATTAACGTATTACATTACATGCAGTTTAAGTGATGATACGCAATATAAATCTAAATGTTTCACATAAACGTTGATGCTTTAACTAAATGTTTTATAGCATTTTATGAATTAATTAAATTTATATATTTTCAATAAAATTAATTGAAAATAAAGCGCAATTTAATATTGCAAATTAAACTGAAATTTAATCCGGTACTTGATAACATTGAGATTTTCAATAAACTACAATCGCTTAAATTTTATTGTAGGTCATATTGAAAGGTTATTTAAGCCAAATTTCAATGAGAATGTTAAGAGCAATAAAAATATTAACTAATTATTATTATCAACAGAGTTTTGAAATTTTGCACTATTTCATATATTATCTTATATATATTATATTATATAATGATATATATTATACACAGTGTATTATATGATATCATTGTATGTATTATATAAAATGTATCATATATTTATATATATGTATAATATCATATACTCTACTTAAAATATTCATAACACATGCTTAGTTTAATAATTAACTTATAAGTTTAAATATATGCATTAACTTAAGGAATATATTTTTGAATTACAAATTAATAACACATTGTTTATAACTTTGAGTAGGGAATATATGTTATATTACATCATCTTATAATAAATTTATAAATAAATAAATCTTATAAATAAATTTAATGTGTATTATGGGTAATCTTCCAAAGAACTCGCATGAGATAAGCAAAGCTCCATAACATTAAAGAAGTGGAAACTTAAAGAAGTAGTAAGACAACCTGTAGGTCCAAGTAAATGTATCAATATATAATCAAGGCAATCGATAACACCATCTCTATTACAATCTCTAGAGAATCTTTTCATATATGCCCTTACAGTCGTTTCTGCGCATTTTCGGTCATTAACACAAAAAAAATAATCTGTAAATTAAATATTCAAATTAATTCTATTCTTTTCTTATTATCATAGATTTCGATTTAATTAATTTACCACTAGCATCTTTACTGTTTGTATATTCGTTTTGTGAGACAGTTGGTTCACCAGCATCAAACCAATAACTTTCTGAAATTCTGAACACTCCACACGATTGTTTACCACACATTTTTGGCTTGCACCCGGAAATATTTTCACATATACACTGCATACAGATTTCGTTCACATTGTTTTCATGTGAAAAAGTTTCAGCAGATGGCGTGAGTTCCTTATATTGATAAATTTCAGTTGAGTTCCATTCGTTTGATGATTCTGATTCGCTAGATTGTACGTCATCAGAAGAATCATTTGATTCAAAGAAATCACTTATATCTGAACTTATGTTTGAATATAAGTCAATGTAGTCTGTAAAAGAAACATATATTTAAATATTTAATTTTTAATAAGAGTATTCTTGAAGTATTATTATTGAGGTTCATTACAATCTGATTTACTTAAATTTCATTTTGTGTTATAGAAAGAATATAAATATCTATATATTATTATCACTAAATAGCAGGTTTCTGTTGTGTATTTATACTAAGGTTTGTATCGGAATTGAACCGAAAACTAACAAAAAAAAAAAAATACAATGTATAAAATGTTGACGAAAAAAACCATTTATAAGTTAGAAGGGTTCGAACAGTAATGAAGAAACAACAACAAACATTTTTAATTAATTTACTGAAATTTGGCTGACCATGCAACGCTGTTTTGAGTATGGCGAAGTACTCACCTTTAGTGATCTTAGAAGATATTCGAATTTTTATTTAATTAGTTTATAGTCCGTATTTTCCGTATAGTCTTTAGTTTGTTAGACTGCAAGTGCCCGGCTTACAACTCGTGTGTGATAAATTAGAAACGATAACATCATGTTATACCACAACTATTCAAGGCTGTACACACTTTCTATGCTATGTTTCATGTTTTTTGTCACTTTATTTGTAAGTGACACTAACCGAAGTACTTGTCATGCTTTTTGAATTAGAAGGAACTTATAAACTACAGCTTGAGTTGGAAAGATTATTAAATAAACAGTATATTTGATGGAACCAAAATCGGTAATAACTGAAAGTTATACATTGGTATATTTCAGATTAGCACCATTAAGTTTGGTATTTGTTTCTTACCGCATTTTTTTCATTAGTTGTTAAAATTTTAATAATTAAATATTACAAGTTTAAAAACAGTTTTTATTTTTAAAAGTGGACGTTTGTTTTATTTTTAAAAAAGTTGATTAACTATTTTGTTTCAAAAGAAAATTGATAAGAATGTACTACAAATGATATGACAAAATAAATAATTTATAGCACAAATGCATAGAAAAAGTTCAATCAGAATTATACTTCCAACCGAAAAAAATCACATTTTTGCCTGTGTAAAACCTGAATCCTTGTAATATTTTTAATTGAACTGTAATCAGAACCAATACGAGGAAATTTCCAGTCCGAAGCTCTGATTTAGACTCGTTCTTTGAATGTGTTGTGAAGTTATGCGAGATATCGAATTTTCCATCTACTATCTACAACGCATTTATTTATTCATCATAAGGGATGATGAGACGTGACGGTATCAATATAATATCGAAACTATTCACCAAAGTAGTAAGTAGTTGAGCTATGTGAATTCGTCAAATCAAAAAAAAATTGATTCAATTAAT